AAGCCATGATGACTGAAAATGGCTTGTCCCACTTGAGGGCGAGGCGACCAGCAAGTCGCCTCTGATAGCTGGCGTATTCGCGATGTAGCACCCTATCCGTGGAACAAACCAGTGGTGTGAACGACCCACGGAGGTCCTCGGAGGCCTGACGATACTTCTTTTTCTTCGCGTTAGCAGCGCGGCTGGAAGTAGCTTCCCAGGATGAATGGGAGTAACTGGGTGCGTTGGCATCAATGATGCGATTATCAAAAAACGCCACCCTGTTTTCCTCCCACACACCCCGGGCAAGCCAATCTGCCCGAAGAGCAGGCTGCCCCGTCTGATCACCCTCCGGCACCATGATCGGCTCGACGACAACACCACCGAATGCCATATCAGCTAGCTTTGCATCGCTATCACGCAGATCATTGTGGCCTCGCTTGATAAGTCCACCGTTCGGGCAGTCAAGGCCGTGCTGGAGAGAGAAAGGCTTCCCGCAACCATCACATTGCGCTGGCAGGGCAAGCGGCTGCCGACCATAGCGGATGGCAAGTTGATCGCGGAATTCTGTACTCGACAGATCATACCCCTCGCGCTTCAGGGGCAACACTGTAAGCCACCCGGAGGCATTTCCCCGTACGATGCGGGAGAGGGTGCGCTCCTCAAGCTGTGGCAGGTCACTGAGAATTGATTGGCTGATTTCAGCGGAAATCACATCTCGTTCCCTGCTGATTTGGCTTGTGATGCGGCAACAGTGAACGCTGTGATCATTTACGTTTATTGGGTTACCAGATTGGATTGAGTTGCGCAGGATGTCAGTAGCGTTTCTCGAATTCTGGTGGACAGGATCGGCCAAAGCCAAGCCACCATACTTGACTGGCAGGGTGAGGAGCTGGTGTTCCCTAGGAAGTATCTCTCGTCTGTCAATATCTCGTCTGTCTGTCTTTCTCCTTCTGCCTGTCTTTGTCAGTCTGCCTGTCTGTGTGCCTAGATGTTTCTCTCTCTGTGTGTCTATGTGTTTCTCTGAGTCTTCGTCTTAGCAGTTCTGTCTGACTGTCTGTGTTTGTCTGTGTAACTCTCCAACTGTCTCCCTGTCTAGGTCTGTCTGTTTGGCTGTCTCTGCTTGTCTCTCTATGTTTGTCTGTCTTCTTGTGTCTGTCGGCCTGTCCCTGTATTTATGTCTCTATTTCCCTCTCTGCTTCTATTCTTCTGTATCTTGATGTCCATCTTTAAGTCTCTTTTTCTCTGTCTCTGTCTTCTTCTTGATCTGCCGCTCTCATTCTCATTGTTTTCTCTGTCGCTCCCTAAGGACCCTCTGTCTCTGGCTCTCTGAGTCTTTGTGTCTGTCTCTCCTTTTGTCATTCATTCTGTGTGTCCCTCTGTTTCTGTCTCTGTCTTTGTCTTTCTGTGTCTGATCGTCGGTCTCTGTCTGTTTTCTCCTGAGTCTGTGTGTGTGTCTGTCTCTCCTGTTTTTTCTTAAAATGTTTCTCCCTCTCTTCTGTCTCTGTTTTTCTGGGTCTGATCGTCTGTCTGTTCGTCTTTGTCTGTCTGTCTTTGTCTCTTTCTCTCTTAGTCCATGTCTCTGTCTGTCACTCTTTATGCGCATCCCTCTGTTTCTGTCTTTCTGGGTCTGTATGTCTCTAGCTCTGTACCGGCCGCTGTTCTGCACATAATGAAATCGTGTGGCACCACACACGTGGCTGTATATTTACCTATGCGTGGGACATTCACACCCAAACACACACACACACACACACAAACACACACACACACACAAATATACACACACACACACAAATATAGACACACATACACACACAAATATATATACACACACACAAATACACACACACTATACACACACACACACACACACACACACACACACACACACACACACACACACTGTACTGTACTGTACTGTACTTGTTGCTCACTGCCAAAACTGGTCACGTGAGTCCCCCCGGGAGAGGGGAGAGAGACTCAAAAGGAATCTTGGAAAGATGACTCAACTGGTTATTGAACCGCCCAACGGCCGACACCCACTGAAATCCCCAAAACTCTGGGTGGACTTGAAAATGATCCCACTTATGGGATCACCACACCTCAGTAAGTGGGCGAGGACAAGGTGAAGAAAAAGGATTGACGGCATCAGGGTATCCGTCCTGGGATCCAACTGCAGTTACCCCGGCCCCCAGTGAAGGTAATATTTGCTACTAGTGTGAGTGGCTAAATCAGAGTGGATCTGATAAAAGCTTCACTAGCACCATTGATTACACAAGAGTTAATCTAGCCAGAAGCAGTCCATGGTTAACCGGTATGTATACTTCAAATAGAAAGTATATGAACCCTGGAACGAACAAAGGTGGCAGGTACAACATTACACCTTCAAGCAGCCGAGCCTGTTGGCAACAGACCCAACACAATCAGGCATACGTGTACCTACCAACCGAACTAGCTGGCACACACACACACACACATACACATACATGTACATACACACACACACAAATATACACACACACACACATACACACATACACACTAGTACGCTCAATCATACTAAGTACCGGGTACATGTAGTACTGCAGAAGTCACAACATAAAACCCCTTCCTCTCTTCTCTCTCTCTCTCTCTTTCTCTCTCAATCTCTCTCGCTATGCCTGCCGCTGTGCTATCATACAGCTACAGATAGCGAAATTGTGTGGCACAGAACACGTACATAACTGTATATTTACCCACACGTGGGACATTCACGCATGCACACCCACACCCACACACACACATGACCTGCAGCAAATAACATTTCATAGCTACAAGACCTTGAAAGAAAGTCATGGTGTCAAGAAGATATACAATGTCATGTAGAAGGATAATAGTCAAACAGCTTGCTGTCTAGAGCATTGGTAATGTACTGGTAGTAGAGATAATCCCAGAGAGTCAAACTATCAGATAAAATGGCAAGCGAGAGTCTCTACTTTTTAGAGTACAGTGTGTGGGTAAGCAGACAAGCTTAGTTCATAACAAATTGATAATAAAGTGTAACCAATGCCGTCATTGGATCATGTGTGAGCGACCAAAGAGGCGTACATCACATGTCCTGTACCACTATAACCACACACAAACGTCCAGGAGAATTTCACGTACCGATGGATCTATCATGCTGCCGGGGATCCCTCATATATCTCATACTGTGGTATGTAACCCTCGGGGAATTGCAAGGACCTAAATACGGCAAGCAAATCAGGGACATTAGGTGCAAGACCCGTTGTTCTAGTTGTCTAGACTGCACTGTGTTCTTGAACATACGGAGCCTCCGCGTTGTATCTGTTAAGACATGCGGCATCTGTTGATCTCGTTTGAGTAGCAGTAGTAGGCATGCACTGCATTACGTTTCGATAAAAGGTTTGATAGCTGATGAATGGGTTTATCAGTTGGCTTCCTGTGTGGGTATTGTTTCTGTGGATTGGTTCGGAGCAATGTTCAGATGGGCCAGGCACCTGGCCAACTAATAATGGCAGTCCAAGCTAGTTGAATATCCGGATCACTTTTTCTCACCTGGTCTACACTCCATCCGCTTGCATTCATAAGCATTCAAGCACGTTGTCTCTTGTACATGTACACTGTGACAGGCACGTGACTTCTGCATGCAATTATGGCAGAGCGTACAGTGGCAGGACGAATATTCCCCTGAAGTTGCAACATGATCTGAGTATAACCGTACGACATCAAGTCTTGACACTCCTTGTGACATGATCAATTCTGCTATGCTCTAATGCAGACTAGCAATAAGAGGCATTTGTCAGAAACCAGTAATCATAAGGCGCTGAGACGATCCGCTATAAATGCCCAAATAATCTGTCATCTGCCTGCTCCAACTTGGCTGTCCTCCTGACAAGTGAAAACTGCTAGCGTCTTCATGGCCATAAACACCATCATTGGCATTAATCCAACGCCTCTCTTGCTCCTCATCTCTGCAGCTTGTAACAATAGGTCTGACACATCAAAAAACTAAAATACTTGGAGCTCTTAGTTCAAGCTACATTCTCAGAGTCAGGAAGTTTCAAATACCAAAAAACCTAGCTTCTCTTCACCATCAGCATCACGAGCAATGACCATTATCAGCCAGCAATGTTACTAGAGCAAAGGCGCTGGCGTGAACAGAAAGCTTTTCATGCAGCAACGTTTCTTTCTCAGCAAGAACAAAATTTAATACTACAGTAGTAAAATTCCAGCAACGTTTCTTTCTCAGCAAAAACAAAAAAAGGAAAGCAAGGGCGTCGGAACCGCACCGGCCGGGGCCGGGGGGGCCATGGCCGCCCCACTTTTTCGGCCGTTTTTTTATTTTTATATTTTTTATTTTTTTTTAGCACACTGCAACAAAGCGCGATGATCTCAGCGCAAACGTGGCAAATCCTTGTCCCCGATCGTGGTTTGTTGCAGAATCAAAAGTCCATGTAGATCTAATGGCACCAAATGCCTGGGAATGCTTGCAATTGGCTTCAATTGTTGAATTTTTTTCCCTGGGGAGGGTAATGTTTGTCCCC